GAGAGAGAGAGAGAGAGAGAGAGAGAGAGAGAGATGCAAGTATTTTTCTAATCTTGAATAAAAATGATTTATTTACTTTGTACTTCTGGTTCCATTCTAAACTGTCATCATATTTCTCTTTGATTAGTGATAGTAATCTCTTTTGTTCGGCAGAGATTCGACTCTGTTCCGATAACCTAATGAAACATCAATGATAAAGCACCAAATCTACCATAACATGACATTCAAATACTATACTACATATATATTTGCCAAACTTTTTGAGCAACTTCAAAAATTTGTAAAAAAGTACAATTTTGATTGCAATCAGCTCAAAGTTTCAATGCATAAACATATATAATACATGACTATGAAGTACATTTTTTTTGCTATAAAAGAAAGACACTGTGTCATTTTTGTTGCGTGCATCAGAGAATGCAATAAAAGCAGACAGAGAGACAGTGAGCATCTCGTTACCTGTCTTGCATTGATATGAGTGGATGGTTGGGTGTGGACACAGCTTCTGTCAATATGCTGATCTCTTTGTCGAGTTTGCCAATCTTCTCCTGATAGCCCACCATCTGCTCGCTAGTCAATGCTATGTCGTTAAGATGCTTCTCTAATGCAAGCAGCACAGAGCACAAGTTCTCTCTACAAGAAATAGAAAGAAGTTTATAAAACACAGCTTGTATAAAAATATACATAAATATGACACACACAATATGCTTGTTATACCTGTTTTTCTGCCAGTGTGGTTCGGATTCAGCTAGTTTAGTAATGAGCATTCCTTCGGCTACTTCCCATTCCATTTCTTTCCTTGTCTGTCTCACTCCGAGCTCAGTTGTGGTCCTCATTGCAAGAGGAAAGGCGGCCTCTTCGCTCTGTGTCCAATCAATCAACGGGTCGTATACAAATGCCTCTAACAATGTCAATAGTGTTTCTCTTCCTCGACGAAGAATACGCAAAATGTCTTCACAGGAAATACGGAATAAACCCTATTAGATATTATAAAGGTAATGTATGATTGAGTATATTATGTACATTGTACCTCAACTCCAGTGAATCCTAGAGCATTCTCAATGTTTTGTGTCATTCTGAATGGAACTCTCTCAGGGACACGAAGGCTCTTTCCTTTCTCAAAACAAACGTTATAATCAACATGGACAACCTGAGAGAGAGAGAGAGAGAGAGAGAGAGAAATAGAAATAGAATAAGAAATACAAAAAGAGTTATACATTTAAAACAAAACTATAGCATTTTATATCTAAAAAACACTTGATCAACTCATCCAATATTTGTACATGTACATACACATAGTAGTCAGTAGTCAGTACATACTTGTCCAGTGGTGAATTCTACCAGTAGATTGTCAAGATGGCGGTCACCCAGCCCAATGATGTACCCAATCATACACATCACAGCAGTTGAGCGACAGTAGGTCTGAGTGACTGCCCACCACTCTGATGCACATGAACTAGCACACCACAACTCCCTAGCATAAAGAAACAATACAAATATAAAATGCTAAAGTCAATCAGTATTTAAAACTTTAAATCTTTCAATCAGCACGCAATTACGCATGCATGTACATGATCCAGTATTGGTGTATGAACTCACTTTGTTAGTAGTTCCCTAGGAGTTTCGTTCATTAGTTCTTTGAGTACTCTCATTTGTATGCCGAGGGGCCACTCTTTGCGTGGGGTGTGTTCGTTGAGTCCTTTCTCGTTGAGGAGAGGAATGATCTTAGCATAGAACAGTTCGTTGGGCTTCCTGACTTGAACTTGTAACGGAGCTGTAGGCTGTGAACCAGCCTAATGGAGTAAAGGCGGTATATAATCAGGGTACTATAGTACAGGGGCTTTAGGGTCAAATTTCACCAAAAATGGCTAGGAAAGAAATCTCCATTTTATGATTTTTTTCTGATGCACACACATGTACTTATGCTGCATAAAAAGTTTGAGCTGATTCCAATCAAATTTGGATTTTTTATAAATTTTTAAAGCAACTAACCCCATTCCTTATACATGTGTATTTATACATGTACATGTACTTACTTGCTGCATTGCTTTAGCTAGTGCTTCTCGTTGCTGCCATCTCTTATAAATACCAAACAACGGGGTAACATTATCGACCCACTGGATAAGACCAGAGCGTGCACCTAACGGTATTACGGCATAATCACGAGCCAAATACAACTGGGTTTGATGTCTGCCGATAAAAAAAAGACAAAAATAATATACAAAGTGATAAAATTAATTTAAATTATTATGATCAAAGTATAACCAATAGTATACCAAATGCATGTAAGAGGAAATCTTGTTGGAGGGTCAATTATAAAATTACAAGTACAATCACCACAACTGTAGAGGCCTTACTTGTGAGCTTTAGCAAACATGTTATTAACGATAGCCATAAACTGCATTATCCTCTCATCAAGATGAAGGTCCTCCAATCCTTTGAAGAGATAAGTGTGTCTCCGCCCGTCGGACCCTATCATCGATATCTTCTTTGGTTTCGTCTTTGTTGGAAGGACAGACACGTCCAGACAGAATGACTCCAATAGAACAGGCTAATAGAGGGAGAATAACGTTACTACATGTACATGTATGGGCATAAGTATGTGAAATTATAACTAGTATAAATAACAAAGGAAGAAATATAAAAGAAAAAATAGAAGGAATAAAAAATCAATTATCTCTCATGTATTGATACTATATGCAGTACATGTTTATTCTAGTTCTCTCACTTCATCCATTTGACTGTGTCCAGGCATTGAAATGCATGATGACTGTATAGCTGCCAAGTGAGGACTGATCTCATTGAGACTCAATGGGGTCTGCATCCTCTTCTGTGCTCTGTGCATTAACATCTGCTGAAGCTAAAAAAAGAATTTAAAAATAACAAATAATAATCTAAATTAGAAGCTTATACTATGTACTTATTATTATCATTATTATTATTATCATATATTATTATTATTATTATTATTATTATTATTATTATTATTATTATTCTTGGTGTACTTGTTTGAAAGGGTCCCAGACATTAATGGAGCTCTTGTAGTTGCTTGGGTTCTGGAGTTTCTGTATCGCCATTGTAATGAGTTCGCCGTATTCGGCTTGAAACTGACGCTCGTTCTGTGTCTCTGGGGGCTGGGCTGTAACTGCAGCTAAATATTCTAACACCCAAAGCAGCTGAGAGAGAGAGAGAGAAATGAGAAAAAAGGAAAGAAATACAAATTAATAAAATTATGTGATAAGGAGAATACAAGTTACACATACACGTACTTATACATCAACATTTTAATGCTATGAAAAAATACATACTTACATGTACATGTATATCAACTTATCAAGAACTCTTTTATTATTAACATTATCATTACTAAATGCAATTTACTCACTGGTTTCATTGTGGCAATATACTTCTGTCTCATGACAGCTTCCTTCCGCTCCATACTAAGCACGTGATTATGTATAGCAAACGTCCTTTTGGTCTCAGCTTCAATCTGGAGGAGTCTCCTGTGTACCTCGCCCTGTCTCTGCATCAGTGCTGCCAGCCACATCTCGTCCCAGAGCAGGGTGATGCGACAGAGCTCTGATACAAGGTCCCTCACTGCTTTCACCATTATGGGGTTTTTCTGTGTCAGTGAATCAACAATGACTGCAAGACACCTGTCAAGGCTGGATAATTCCGATGGTGAATTCTCAATCATGTCTACACGAGTGAAAAATACAGGCATGGTGGGGTAGTGTACAGCACAAAGAACTTAAGACTAAAGAACATTTACAAGCTGAACCATGTATTGCATTCTCCATAGACTAATAGATTATATGTAAACTGTAAAGCTGTATATGTTAAAAGATTGATGTTACTACATGTATAAGGTAACTATTACTGAGAGTAAATATTTTCAACATCATAAAATTATCAAACACTCATTTAGCACTAACTAAAATTAATAGTCAACATTAATACACTACTATTCTATTGTTGCCAGTGTCACAAATGTAAAGGAAATGATCTTGATCAAATGTTATTCCAAAATTAGGGGCATTAAATTGCTTTTCCCCACCTCCTCTTTCTCCAAAGCTACACAGAAACAGGCCATCACTAGTGAAGATTGAGACACGATGATTACCATGCTCACTAACATAGACCAGACCAGTAGTGTCTACTGTAATACCTGCTGGAGAAGTAAGCTGGCCAGGACCAGATCCTTTACTGCCAAACTGAGAAACATAATTGCCATCATGAGTAAACTTCTGAATGCGATTATTATTGCAATCAGTAACATAAACAAATCCTTCTTTATCTATAGCAACATCG